GGATGTTAACACACTCGATGCGGCGTCCGGCCACGGACGAACAGGATGAGATGGGATGGGATGAGATGGGATAGAATGGGAAATAAATAAAATAGAATAAGATATGATATGCTAATGTTACGATTAGGTTAGCAGAGGGTAGGCTAAGATTAGGCTAGGGTTAGAATAGGATAAGATAGTTAGGGTGAGGTTAGGAGAGGATAGAACAGGATAAAGTTGGAGCCTAGACTTTCCGTGCTGTTAAACTTCTCGTTGAAAGTAGAATGTAAGTGCGTCGCAGTTGCCTTGATCCTCGCTCCCTTATTGATAAACATTTACATTAAACGGGTCAATCTGGATCACGTTCTATTTTCATATTCAGCCAAGGACAAAGGAACGAAGGCTTGTTATCATTGAGTAAGCACTCTCCGTAAATAACACCGTTTATAGTGCCTGGTTAGAATGCTAGTGTACACAGCGACAGCAGCGTGTGTGTGTATGTCTGTGTGTGCCGGGGGTAAGTCTATGTAAGGCAGTCCCGCCCAAGAAAGATGCAAAGAGTCACGTCCATTTCGGGATGGGTGAAGAGGAGCAAGATTTACTAACGTATTTCGCTGCTGTTATAGTCAGTGTTACTTTATAGATGATGACATGGTGTAGTAAAATGCCCGTGACAGAATACACGCTACTGTAGCTATAATGGAACGAACGCATGTACATGTACAAGTGTGTATGTGCATATGTATGCATATTGTAACGCTTGCCCCTGTGGCGTGGTGGTAGATCAGGCCATGATCGTCCCACAGGGGCGACACGTCGGGTCGTGCACCTCGACTGCCAGGCACGTTCCGTTATGACCAACCAACGACAAACAGAGCAGCAACACGGATATAGGCGGTACTTAATGTGAGCTAGCAAGAAATAGACAAAAATAGCATATATATATATTATATATTATATATAGAGGAGGAGCGTACGCGAGAGACAGCTAGTGCGTACAGTATTTTGGGTTATTCCTTTTACCTGTGGATTGAGCGCCTCCCCTTTGGTGTTGCTTAGATGTGTGAGACAGGCGGACGCCTCATCCTGGATCTTCTTCTCTATGCTGACCTTCCCCATGCCGAACTCACGCAGCTTGCTGAGCGCGAACTTCCTATGCTCCTTCCAACGCTTTCCCTCGCTAAACGCGATTCCTGAACGAGACAAAAATAAATAAAATTCACCGCGAAAATACCCAAAATAGTTGTAATATTAACTTAATTATCATATTTTAATTAGAATTAAATAAAATAAAAAATATTATTATTAAAATAACAAATAAATCCTTGATGTTTCATATGCTTATGCGCTATTCTGTTTGATATGTTCTCGATTATATTATTAATTTTTGTTATTATTAGAAATATTTTATTAATCAATAAACTGATTTTCACAGCTCACGTGTAACACGATACACAAATACTGTACATCCCGCAGATACGTGCACACATGCACGTCCCACCACCTCCTGTAATTCTTGACATAGAAGAGTCTTGTCATTGACACATTCTTGTCATTCTAATACATCGCGAGAATGATGAATTTGAATTTGTAAAACCGAAATTGCGGATAGGATCCACGCGTCATATTTTACGTACGGACAAATATGCAATCTGACATCCGCTCAGAGAAAAAGGCTCGTGACCTTATTGAACATATGACCGTTCTATCCAGGTGATTTCACTGTATAACTGCTACTTAAGGTGAGCGCAAAGCGCCGTTACAGACAGTTGATCGTTCTATAGAAGTGACTGCTAAAATCCACTTGACACTGTATATGAATTATAAATTGATAATGAATGCAGAGAGTGCTTAAGATAACACATGTAATAAACAAGCTTGATGTTCACTTGTTTTATTCATCTAATACATATTTGTGAGTGTGTGTCTGTTTGTCTGTTCTCGATGCAAATATACGGATATACGGAGCACTCTCGAAATGTCAAAGCCGTTCAGTAGGGGTAAATTTTGGTGCTGAATGTCATGGGTACATTGGATTTGACCTCCGAGGTCATCTGAGCCAAATATACTGGCCCCTGCAGCAGCATTAAATAAACGCGCATCTGCAGCAGACAATAAATAAACGCATAGCAGCATTAAATAAACGGGATTCACTTTGCACTGACTCGTATACTATAAAATGCAAAAAAAAATTTTGCCAACACATAATTTTTAGCTATATTTAACTATTTAAAAAGTTTTTAACTTTTTCCATTGCATTTTATTATATCATTTTAAAATGAAAAAAAAAGAAGTAACCGCTTTATATATATACGCCGGTAGCAATATATAGCGATGTTAGAATATGAGCGTATAACGCACGCACCATTCATCTCCCCTCGTTCGTCTGCCATGTAGCGACGCAGCGCGGTATGGTATGGTCGCGCCGCCGTATGCTCGCCCTGGTTGAGAAATGCCTCCCTCGCTAGCTCCACATCGTTGACGACAACAGTAAACTGAAACACGTATATATGTATGTATATGTATATATGTGTGTATTTATAGACACGGTAGATAGCTAGATAGAAAGATAGCTCGATAGAGAGATAGCTCGATAGAGAGATAGCTCGATAGATGGATCCATTTATCGATAGATAGATATATGGATGAATTGATGGATGGATGAATGGATAGATCGATAGATATATAGATAGATAAATAAATAGAAAGATAGATGGGTAGTTTGATGGAGAGATGGATAAATAGATAGATAATTAGATAGATGGATAGATAGAACACACGCACACACACAAAGAGAGAGATTCACATCGAATTAATATAACACACAAATTAATAGCGGATTAGAGGAGAGATACAAACATAAAACTATATAGAGCGTTTTTCGATTTGCGCGCATGTGAACTCATATAAACATGGCACCATACGTAATCGGATGAAACACACACACATATTTTGCACGCACGCACGCACGCACGCACGCACGCACGCACG